CTGCCACATATGGATTTGGATTAGTCGAGTTTTATTGTGGGTTTTGAATACCGGAATGAAAAATAAAAAAAAGATGTGTACGCTTACAACCATATTAAGGATCTCAAATATTTATAATATTGAAACTAATGATATAGATGTGACACTCGCACGTACTCTAAACTAGTCTCATCTAAAAGCGATTAAAGAGCATACTTTTATTATTTTATTGTATTCTCAACAGAATGTCCCCTCCCTCCAGTTTGTCTAGTATTTATTATTTAATTGTATTCTCAAAAAAATTATTTTATTATTTACTTATATTCTCAAAAAAATTAAAAACATATAAAAAATTTGACCGACTCTCGAAATTCTATCACAGAGTTATTCAACTTTATTTTATAACCTCAAAGTCACTTAACTATAAATATTTTAACTACAAAATCACTCAAGTATTGATATTTCACTTAGAAAGTTACACAACCAATTTGAATCTCCTAACTACGAAATTAGAGGTTTAGTTAGTGGTTTACGGGGGTTCAAATTTAATCTTGAAGTTTTATGTTTAAATTTCAAACACTATATTTTAATTTTTTGAACCTTTTTAATTAATAAAAATCTTAAATCCACCAATATAAACGAAAGTTGACTTCCCTTTTTATTTATTAAAACCACCTATAGTGGGGTTAGGCTAGTATGTTCCTAACGTATGTATTGATTAGAGCAAAGAAGAAAAAAATAGCCGATGGCTTGAATATTTGTCCTATTTTTTTTATATATACATATAGATTTCTTGAATCCCCTAAATACAAAATTAGAGATTGATTAAGTGGTTTAGGGGTACAAATTTTATCTTGAGATTTTATGTTTAAATTTCAAATATTATATTTAAATTTTTCGAACCTCTTCAGTAAAAATCTTGAATCCACCAATATAAACGAAAGTTGACTTCATTTTTTATTTATTAAAACCACCAATAGTGGGGTTAGCCTAGTATGGTCCAAATGTATGTATTGAATAGCGTAAAGGAAAAAAAAAGTTGATGTGGCATCGATAAAATTTTAAGAGTAAATTATTTTTTATGTTTTCAAAATATTTTAAGTTATTAATTATAGTAATTTGTAATATTTTTTGCACAATATTTAAATGTATAAAAGACTAAACAATAATAAGACAAACAAACTAAAACGAAAAAACCACAAAAAAATATCAAACTATCTTTAAGTGCCAAAGAAGACATGTTGACCTGATGCCTGTTTTGACACTATGAAACTCCCTCTTATAAGATAGTATATGAACTCCCACACCTTTATAATGGGATTAAGTTTCCGTTTGGATTAACTTATTTTAGGTGCTTTTGATTTTTAAGTAATTTTTTTGTTTGGGAGCTGTTTGAAAAAATCATAAAGTACTTTTAAGCACCCACTTTTAGGTAAACAAAAAATTAAAAATAAATAAAAAATAAGATACCACCTACTTTTAACTAGTAAATTACTTTTTATAAGTTTATTCAAACAGGCCCTAAGCCATTGAGTTGCATCCAAAATGGATTCATATTAAGAGAAAGAGAGAACTACCACCAATATTAAGTTTATCAATGATTATTTAGAGACATATATTTATGATAAAATATTTATTTTAATTTACTAATTTCAAAGGCCTACAAAATTTAATTTGCGTAAACAAAAATTTTAAAAAATATATAATTTTTAATTGATGAAGAGCTCGTGCAGTGCACGGGCTAATATTTATTTAAAAGTTAAATATAGAGGAACTTGCATTTATAGCCACTCAAAAATAGGCTAATTAATCTCCATAGCTATAGTTTGATAATTACAATTCGTAGCTACATGTTATAGGGAGGACGGAGGCGAGTGATACTGGGAGAGAGAGGAGAGATGCAAGCGAGAGAGGGCAAAGAGTGGGAGAGATCAGGTGAATTGTATATATATATCAGTTAGATAATTGTATATTATACATATGTATTTGTATATATGGAAAGCGAGATTGGGAGAGTGAGGAGAGAGGCGAGCGAGATTGGGAGGGAGGAGAGGGTGAGCGAGAGAGGGCAGAGAGTGGGAGAGAGGTGAATTGTATATGTATATCAGTTAGATAATTGTATATTATACATATTTATTTGTATATATGACAAGCGAGATTGGGAGAGGGAGGAAAGAGGCGAGCGAGATTGGGAGAAGGAGGCGAGAGGAATGAGAGAGAGCAGAGAGTGGGAGAGAGGTGAATTGTATATATATATCGGTTAGATAATTGTATATTATACATATGTATCTGTATATTCTGGCGAATTATACATATACAAACGTGGCTAATTATACAAACTGAAAGTCAACCCACGTAATTAATGTATAATTTTAGTCGTGCGTGGTAATTATAGCAAACTATAGCTATGATAAGTAATTAAGTAGTATAAGTTTGATTAACCGCATAATTTTCCCATTTTAAATTGATATATATAAATATATATAGATAGATAGATGTGTGTGTGGTAGTAAATATTCATATTAACTGTAAAATGAATACCTGATAAATATTTTTAACTTTGATAATTTTAAGTAATTTTTATTAAATAATTTTAATTTCTTTTACGTAAAATAAATTATACATATTTGTATTGTAGTAAATCATCTTGCTCTTTTTTCTCAAGAATCTTATGTGAGCGGACATTATCCTTTATTTTCTGAAATAGGAAATATACAAAAATCATTGTTAATTTATGTAACATTTGATTGTTTTTCTTGTAAATCAGAGAAGTTATGCGAAAATTTAAGTATTGTTGCATTACAAATTTGTGCAACACTAATTTTTAAATTAGAATTTAATTCTTACAATAATATCTACAATGTTAATCCCTATATAGTTTGCCACTTGACGATGTTGTCCCTTAAGTATGAGCTTTGTTATTTTGAGGTCTTGATAAAAACAAATACATTCTAATTTAAGTCTTTAAAATTTAATAAGTACAATATAAATTTCTCCATTTTAATTTATTTATCTAATTTTAAATGTTATTTAAGTATATGATATATAACTCATTCTTAAAAATTAGAATAATTTAAATTTTGATTGCACATAAAAATATTTCATTATGTTTATTAAATTTCTAGTAACTACACTGATTTTTTCTCACTCTGGAGACTAATTTTTTTATTGCATAGGGATAAAATTTATTCTATTATTATGATTTTTGCATATAATATAATTAATTAGTGCTAACATAAAGATAAGTTACTTCAAATCTCTTGTTCATTATGTAATGATGCATGCCTGGAGCCTTTTTATTAAAATTAAAAATCAATGTGAAGTAGGGCTCATACTATGAAGTGTATAGGGGAGTGAAATAACTGATTATTTTGTCTAACTTAGAAAAAGTACATGATCAATAACACAAAGTACAATAGATTTGTAGCAAAATAATTACAAAAATACCAAAAAGGCCCCTATGACAAGCATGCATGTTGACGGGGAGGAGCTTGCTTTGTGCGAACCTCGTATATAATTCTCCCTCCGTTTCACAAAGAATGACCCCCTTTCCTTTTTAGTCAGTTTCAAAAAGAATAACATCTTTCCTTTTTTGGTAACATTTTACTTTTTGCTTTCCACGTGGCATGTTTAAGACCACAAGATTAAGGGCAATTTTGTACATTTGACATAACTTTAATTTAGGACCACAAGATTCAAAGTCTTCTTTATTTACTTAAACTTCGTACCAAGTCAAACCAGGTCATTCTTTATGAAGCGGAGAGAGTAAGAGAATATATAACATATAAGAGAACATATAGGTGAGCTGGGATGAATTTATGGGGGCCATAGGTGTTTGTTCGAATTTTTTGGTAAAAAAATTATAATATATATATAGAGAGAGAGAGAGAGAGTGTTTGACATTGTTTGGGAGGCAAAACCACTTACCTTGAAAAAAAATATTTTTTTTGAAAAATCATAGTGTTTGGCTGATCAGTAAAACTACTTCCAATTGGAAAACATAATCAGTTTTTCTGTTATTAGAAAAAAGCTAAATATTTCTACTTCTTAAAAAAAAAAAATCGAAGCAAAAAAATATTTTCTTCAAGATCAAACTATCCTTGCCATATACATTTACCAATACATATCCTATATTTATTTATTTATTTATTTGGTGAATTTTCGCATGTAGTCATTTCATTTGTGGAATTTTTTAAAGTTTATTTTGCTTGATATTTTAAATAATATTTAAATTATTATGTTAATATTATATTAATATTTAATATATTTTTTATTTATCTTTATATAATATTGATTAAAGAATATATATATATATATATAGATATATATATATATATATATACAAAGGTAGTTTTGTACCATTTTCAATAGTTCAAGGGTATTTTAGACCATTTTCCGTACTTTTAATATAGTATAGATGGTCATACACTTCAACATGGTATCATAGCAGACAGAAGTCATGTGATCGAATCTCACCGCTATCCACATCACCAGGAATTAATTTCCACGTGTTTGGCCCATGAAAAGAAAATCAGACCCGCACGTAAGGGCGGCTTGTTGAGCATACAGTTAAATAATAAAAGTATGATCTCTCTAACATGTTAAGCTTTTTAAATAAGATCTATGGTCACACACTTCAACACATTGGAGGTGAGCCGAGTCCAATCGTAGCTAGCTAGTACTCCCTCTGTCCCTATTAACTTATCAAATTTTGACCTAAACACACTTTTTATGAAAATAATGATTGATGCATTGATCTTATCATTTTACCATATGATAGGGTGCTAAACATATATCTAACATTCATGCATTAACAATTAATCAACAATAATTGACTTTGCATATGCTACTAATCTAGTATTTAATTTGAAGCAATAATATCTATCGTACATTTACTGTTAAGTGCAATAGTTGGCCTTGTTATAATTTAGTATAAATACCCATCGTCAGAAGTTAGTAACACATCATCTTGAGAATTATAAACTCCTTAATTAATTCATATATATTCTCTACCTTTGAACATGGCTTCCAAAACAAGTCACCCCTCAGTAGCCCTTTTCCTATCACTGAATCTCGTCTTGTTTGCTCTTGTAAGTGGAACCAATGATACTGGAAATTGCGGAGGACAACAAATGTGCTCAATAGATACTTTGAAACTTGGTGTGTGCGCTAATATACTTAATTTGGTGAATGTAGTAGTCGGGTCTCCACCAACTTTGCCATGCTGCAGTTTGATCCAGAGATTGTTGGATTTAGAGGCTTTAGTTTGCTTGAGCCTTGCCATAAGAGCAAACGTCCTGGGAATAATTAATTTGGAAGTGCCACTAGCTATCGACCTAATTCTCAGCGCCTGTGGAAGGAGCCTTCCTACTAACTCCACTCGTTAATGTCCCCTCTAGCCAATGGGTGGCACAGACGTTAATTAATAAATAAATATCTCATCGTGCTCGTTAATTAGTATTTAATAAGTGAACTTTGCATATGCAAGTTCATCAGTATGTAATAAGTGAACTTTGCATAGGCAAGTTCATGCATGTATTGTTTTTGATCTTATTATATTACATAAAAATCAAATTAATAAATAAAACTAGTACGTGTTTAAAGACTACTTAATTAATGGGACTGGAGATAATGTTGCATTTCTCGTTTGTTATGATTCGATTAACTTACCTGGCTACGTAGTATTTAGTAATGAAATCAGACAAGAATAATTGTACAAATAATTTCTTACTATTGAAAAACTATGAGTTTTTTTTTTTAGAACCATGTTAATAAGATTAGCAAAAATTACAGAGCCAGAGGGAGACATGTGTCATGACCCAGACCGTCGTGATTGGCACCCATACTAACCCTCCGGTGGGAGAACCATTACTATAACCCAAGCTAAGCAATTTAACGAAAAACTAAGGCATTTAAAGATACGGAAGCAGGTTTAAATGTCTAAGAAAATAAAAAAATAGAGAGTTTCCATAAACTCAAACAAAAGTCTAACAAAACAAATGCCGAATAATATCTAGGACCAGAAAGTCATGAATGTACCAAAACATATAAAGTTCAACAAGTCTAAGAAAATGGGTACAACCCAACTAAACATAAGAAAATCTAAAGTAATAGTCTAAGTCCAAAGATGTGGACATAAACGAAAGAGAACTCATGACAGCCCGGAGAACTGGCTCACCCTTGAATTCGATTAATCACTGATCTTCTAAACGAGGACCGTCAATAACCGCCTGAAGATGCCCTATACTCAGCAAAGAAAGAGCAAGTGCAGTATCAGTACACAACCACATTATACTTGTAGGATCACACGGCTATCCCACTAAGTGCAACATACATAAGCCATTACAACATAATAATAACATGCATACACTGAACATATACAATATCAATATCATTTACGAATCACATTCAAGTTCACAATTCTCATATTACACAGATATGTCAAATCAATGGTCCTCTCATGGAACCCACACCCAAACTGTTAGCGTACCGGTACGTGGTACCCGTTCCAAGTTAGTGTGTTGGATCGTGACACTTGTTCCAATGTTTACTTCGGTATGTGGCAACCGATCCCAGGTAGTGTGTCGAAATGTAACACCCGATCCATTCAACAAGTCATAATCACAATCACAATGTACATTCTCATAATGATACAATCAAGTCATGATTCATGGCATACATTAATTCAATCATCTTCATTTACGATTAGTGTGATCAATAATGCAACATTCGCATACAAACATGCATCATAATTAAGTAATTATAAATACATACACACCAATTTGAAATCACAACCATCACCTACCTCGAACAAAACTTCAATCCCCTAAGAAACATTATTCTTCCCTTTTCGGATTCTTTCTGCTAGTTCTTGGTCTACAAACAATCAAAATAACACAGGAATCAATAAATGATGTCTAATTACCCAGATTAAAGTCAACACTATCAACCCTAGATCAAACCCTTGATCCCCATACCCAGATTAGGGCTTTTTCCACCATAAATCCCAGATCAAAACCCTCCCCCATCGATAATTACCCAAGAAACTAAGTTCTACGGATCGAAAAATGGAATCGGGGAGTGAAAACCTTACCTTTAGCCTCAAGAATAGTGGAAAACTATCAAGAAAACACTTGGGGTCGTTCCTTAGCTCTCAAACTCGAAAAGTGCAAGATAAAACATTTTTGGAGTTTATTTCCAACTTAAGTTGCATATGTCCCGCCACAGTGTCCCCGCCCTGGCGGGAAAATACCGCCTTAGTGTCTTGCACGGAAATAATGAGCATATTTAAGAATTCCCCAATCCCTATTTCACAACACACATTCATCCCACGACACTCAGAAACTACCCGTTTATACTAAGATCAGTTTCGGGAGTTCTACTCGCTCGAATTTAATTTTGTAAAGTCGCACGTGTTCCTTAACGTCTTAGCTATCTACTCATGCGATCGAATTCATAATTAGATCTCCCAATTATCACCATATTTCCCTAAACCTCACTTACTCCGATTTCGTCCAAATCTGGAATAGGTTGGGAAATTTCAAGTTAGTACCAAAAAGTTTTCCGGCCCAAAATTTTTCCCCGTTGGCTTTTCTTTAATGACGAAAATCGGTCGTTACAATAGATACCAATTTACTCATCACTCGTCCCCGTGTGACAACTAGGAAAAACAGGCTAAAGCAAGAGTGGAGTAGTACCTGAATTGACGAACAATTGGGGATACTTGTATCGCATGTCTTTCTCGATTTCCCAAGTAACTTCCTTAATGGGACGATGCTTCCATTGAACTTTCACGGACTTAATCTCTTTGGTCCTCATCTTTCAGACATCATGATCAAGAATTGCAATCGGTTCCTCCTCATATTGAAGGTCTTTGTCTAACACGACTGAGTCCCGTTTTATGATGTAATCCCCGTCACCATGATATCTTTTCAACATGGACACATGAAAAACCGGATGAACTCCCGATAGGTTGGGAGGTAAATCCAATCTATAAGCCACTGGCCCTACACATTCGAGAACCTCAAAGGGACCAATGTAACGAGGACTAAGCTTGCCCTTCTTGCCAAATATCATCACCCCTTTCATGGGTGATACTTTAAGAAGAACGTCCTCACCAGTCTGAAATTCCATGTCTCTTACCTTATGATCCGCATACTTTTTCTATCTACTTTGGGTTGCTAAAAGCTTAGCTTGAATACTCTTCATTTTATCTTGAGCATCCTTCACTAAATCAACCTCCAATGGTTTCACATCTCCAGCCTCAAACCATCCTATGGGTGATCTACATCCTCTCCCATAAAGTGCCTCAAATGGTGCCATATCGATGATGGAGTGATAACTATTATTATAGGAGAACTCACACAACGGTAGGAACTTATCCCAATACCCTCCAAAATCAATCATACATGCCCTCAACATGTCTTCTAACACTTGAATAGTCCTCTCTGACTGTCCATCCATCTGTGGATGGAAAACTGTACTAAAAGTGAGTTGTATGCCCAATTCATCATGTAATTTCCTCCAAAACTTAGAGGTAAACTGTGTACCACGGTCTGAGATGATAGAGAGGGGAACCCCATGCAACCTCACTATCTCATTCACATACACATTAGCCAATTGTTCAGCATTATAATCTATCTTACCGAAATAAAATGGGCTAACTTAGTCAATCTGTCAACCACTACCCAAATAGAATCAAACTTCCCCAAAGTCTTGGGGAGACCAACCACGAAATCCATGGCTATCATTTTCCACTTCCATTTTCAAATTGGCGTTCTCTGAAGCAAACCTGCAGGCCTTTGATGTTCATACTTAACTTGTTGGCAATTTTTACACTTAGCCACAAATTCCACTATGTCCTTTTTCATGCCCAGCCACCAATAAATTAGTTTCAAATCTCGGTACATCTTGGTCACACCCAGATGTATGGAATATCGCAAACAATGAGATTCTGTTAACAAATTCTGGATCAAGTCACCAACTCGAGGGACACATCACTACTAAAATAACAGTGAATACCGACCTCCGGAGGTCGGTATTCCCTAAAATCGACATCCCAGCTTAGGTCGGAAAAAGCTTGGTCGTTATTCAATACCGACCTCTCGAGGTCGATTTTTATTTTAATTCAGAAAATTTATTTTCCGACTTCCTGAGATCAAAATATTTATTTCTCATATTTTGGAATATTGACATACGAATGTCGATATTTGTTATACTTTTAATTTTTAATATTTTTTAAATTCCGACCTCTGGAGGTCGGTATTCTTATTTTTTTATTATTGAGATCCTGACCTCCGGAGGTTGGTATTTTTATTTTTTTATTTTTGAAATTCTGACCTCCGAAGGTCGGTATTTTTATTTTTGTATTTTTGGAATTCTGACCTCCAGAGGTCGGTATTTTTATTTTTTTATTTTTGAAATTTTGACCTCCGGAGATCGGTATTTTTATTTTTTTATTTTTGAAATTTCGACCTCCGGAGGTCGATTTTCTCCTACAAAACTGGCAGCAAATTGCTGCAATTTTAGTTGCCCCACCTGCATATTTATACCAAAACAACCCAAAAAATTCCAAATAAACTTCATCCAACCAAAACAACCCAAAGAATTCGAAATAAACTTCATCCAACCAAAACAACACAATATTTTCAACATATACATTAAACTATTTCAAAATAAAATAAAATACGATAAAACAATTCCAAAAATATAGAAGTCTAAAATGTCAAATAGATACAACTACTCCTTATCACCCTCACTCTCTTTATCAGACTTATCATTCTCATCACCCTCCTAATCAGATCCATTACTGTTGGATGGACATGGAGGAAGAATATATTATGATTCAAAAAGAAAAGTTAGTTGGGCCTGAAGCGCTGCATACCTCTTGTTCTCTACCTCCTTTGCTGCCGCAATCTCCTCCTCTCTCTTCCTCTCTCTTTCTTCTCTCTTCCTCTCTCTTTCTTCCCTTTTTCGGCTACAGCAGCAAGCTCGGCATTGAGATAAGCTATATTACTCTCCATTGCAGATATTGTCTCTCTATCCTCGCCATCGAAGCTTGAGGATGATGAACCACAATACCAAGACTTCTTCTTCTGATATGCCTTTCTGGATAGCCGTAGACTAAACCTTTAGCTAGTGTAGTTTTAACTTAATTCCAATAACTAAATTCACTAACTAAACCACAATATTTATTTTAACTTATTTAAACAACTTTTTAACTTTAACTACATTAGTTTTGACTTAATTCCAACAACTAAATTCACTAACTAAACCACATTATTTATTTTAACTTATTTAAACAACTTAACAACTTTTTGACTTTAACTACATTAGTTTTGACTTAATTCCAACAACTAAATTCACTAACTAAACCACATTATTTATT